GTCTCTATTTAAAACTACTGCCTATGTGTGGTAGCCTTGGCCTTTTGCCTGTGGTAGGACGCTGATGTGAACAGTTCACTGGGAAAGTTGGTGTGTTCTCTCGTCCCAGAAAGTTCCATGAACTTGTTTTGAGCTGCTAAAGTAGCAGAACTGAGCAGAGAATGGTGACATTGCAAGGACAAGAACTGCTTTCAGGTTACCCTTCACCTTTGGGACATTCAAAATCTTGCAAGGTACTTTGTGCCTCAGAGTTAAAAACATTCATCTGGCCTTGATTTCTGGAGTAATTAATAATCTTATGGCCTCTAAAACTACTCTGCTGAGAAATCAAATCACTTCAGAAAAACAGGCCTAAGTGGGACTTATCTGAAATCTATTAGATATCAACCTCCAACAATAATCTATAAATCTCCCTGTTGGCTATACTGTAATAATGAAATCACTATGATTCTCATATGACTATATAAAGATGAATAAAAGAATAGACCAGAATTGTGCCCAATTACACATTTTTAAAATAAGTATATTATGAGGGAAGGAATATACAGAGATACTTTAAAAAGTCATGAAAACTGAATCAAATGATAAGTTGTTGAGGGGCAAGACTGCCTGGGATGCCCACATTCATACTGGAGTCCCTGGATTCACATCCTGACTCTGCTTCCAGTCCAGCTTCCTGCTGATGGGACCCTGGGAGGCAGCAGGTGATGGCTCAAGTACTTAGATCCCTGCCACCCACATAAGAAACCCTGATACGGTTCCAGGCTTTTGTAAGCATTTGGAGAGTGAAGCAGAAAATGGAAGACCTATCTCTGTATGTGTCTTCTTTCAAGTAAAAAGAAAATAAATAAAAAACTTTTAAAGATAAGTTTATTTAGGTGCTAGATTTTGAGATCCACGTATATGCAGAATCTTCAAAATGTTCATGGAAAATGTATTATGGGAAAAACTGAATGAATTTAATTGTTTTTCATTAAAATAAATTTATCACAACAGGTATTTGACACAATGCCATTTAGGATGGTTGCATCCCATGTCTCAGCACTTAATTCCCTAATTCAAACCCTAGTTCCACTTGCAAACCAGCCTCCTGCTGACATATTCCCTGAGAGGGAGCACGTGGTGTCTCAAGCCCCTGGTCCCTGTCAGCCATGTGCTTGGCTTTGGCTTCACCCGGCCCTGGCTATGGTGAGTCAGACGATGGTGGAGCTCACTGTATTTGTCTGTCCTTTTCTCTCCCTCTCCCTCTATGCAAATAAAAATAAACAAGATTATTTTAAATTTATCTTTTAATTCTATTTTCCACAAATTTTTTTAAGTATCTTAGTATTAGAAATCAGTAATAAAAAGATCTATTAAATATGTGTAACAAAAGACGACTATTTGCAAATTTTGTGTGAAGTTATGTTTTTAGATTATTCTCAACCACTGAACATTAAAGTTTTCTTATTTAGTTCCACAGTGAAATCTAAACTTCATAATCTACTAAAACATTTCTAACTGAAACCATAAAACTATCAAGAAATATGGCCATAGTGATTCACATATTAAATATTTTAGAATCTTCTAAGTTAAAAGCAAAAATTTACAAAGAAAACACGATATTTAGGCTTAAAAGAAAAGATGCTTTGAATAATTCATGAATGCAAATGTCCTAAACTTGATGAAAAATAGATATCATAGAATCTCAGCCAATCTCCAGCAGAATAAATAAAAATGAAATCTCATCAAGGCACATTATGGTTACAACACTGCTCTTATTCAACCCTAGGTTGGTATGCTTCCTGTCCCTCTCCAAGGTGGCTATGCCATTCATTTGTAACAGCTTTGTCATAGTTTGTATTCTACTTTATTATTACCCTTATGCACACACAGGTGGCCCTTACACACATACGTGTATGCATTTCTTATTTTAATTATTACTTTGAGGGGAATGTGAAACATCGTCTTGGTTGTAAGAATCAGAGATGCAAAAAGATACTCAGGGAAGCATCCCACCTCCTTCATTCCTTCACCCAAGCCCCATTCTCAGTTTCTGCTGTGTTTTTAACTCATCCCCTGCAGGTGAGTAATGTAACTGATTTCTGATCTACCCTATAGGTTTATTGTGTATCTATTTGTATTCAATATTAATGTTCTATTAGAGAAAGATTTCTTAAACAGGATACAGAATATATTCAGCATAAAGAAAACAACCCAGTAGGAAAACCAAAAACCTAAACAGGCACTTCGCCAAATGATGGGGCCACATGACCAATAAATACACACAAAGATGAACAACTTCACTGCTCACCAGGAAAATGCAAATTAAAGCAGAAATACAGTGACACTACAAACAAATCAGAATAGTTAAAATGAAAAGGATGAATGATTCCAAGTGTTGGTGAAGATGAAGAACAACTTGGTGGGAATACAGCTTGGTACAATCACCTTATAAAACTGTCAATCTAATAATATTGAATGTGTACACTTGTGTGTCCTATCACCAAAATTTTCATCCTTGGGTTGTTGTATATTGTTATAACAATGTCACCCAATGAGCTATGCCTCCCTGCGTACACTTTTACAACACAACACTGCTACTCCTTATAACAAGAGACAGACGTTTTTAAAATTTTTTTCTTTATTTTCATTTTAGTTGAAAAGCAGAGACAGACTTTTGAAGTGCTGGTTCATTCTCCAAATGCTCATCACAGCCCAGGATGGGACAAGCTAAAGCCAGGAGCCCAGGGCTTAGACATGTATCCCACTATAGCTGTCAAGGATGCAACTACTGGAGCCATCATCTATGGTCTTCCAATGTTTACATTAGCAAGAAGCTGCAAACAGAAGTCCTGGGACTTGAACCAGGCACTCTATCACAGATGCAGGCATCCCAAGAGGGATCTTAACTGCTGCACCAGACACCATCCCCCAATCGGATATTTCTTAACCACTTTAATTCCATGACTGACTCTATGACTTGTTTCAACCAGTTGAATATGCTAGAGCTGATTTCTCTTTGTTCAAGTGCATAGATCTTAAAAACCTTACAGCTTCTACCTTTGCCCTCTGGGACTCAACCACTAAAACAGGTTAGGCCACCACCTGCAATGCCAGAATTCCGTATGAGAACCAATTCAAGCCCTGGCTGCTCCACTTGCAATCCAACTCCCTGCTAAGGCATCTGGGAAAGCAGCAGAGGATGGTCCTGATGCTTGGGCCTCTGCACCCATGTAGTAGACTTGGATGGAGCTCCTGGCTTGGGTCAGTAAACCACTAGATGGAAAATCTCTGCCTTACCCTCTTTCTCTGTAACTCTTTCAAATAAATAAAGAAATCTAAAAATAAATAAATAAATAAATAAATAGCATTCTTTAAGAAAATAAATTCACTGTCCCTTTCTTTGATAAAAATATTTTGGGGATATTTTAAAATCAACTACAGAATTTTTAAATGTGTGTTAAAAAAAATAGAGTCTGAACAAATGTCATTGGGTTGGAACCCAGCCATCTGATGGCTCAGAAACTCTAATGAAGGGAGCCTGGGCTGCAGTGTCAGGTCATTAAGCAGAAAGAGAGCTATGTCACTTCATCTCTATTATATTTCCTCTCAAAAACATTTTTGCCAAAGAACATGAAGCACAAACATCTGTTTTCAAATTGCAATTATCTAAAAGCAAGAAAATGGCAATGTACCCATTTCCACCCACTCCCCAGGTTTTGGCTAGTTTACCTTTCAGAAAGTGTCCACAGATCATTAAAATACTTTAATGAGTTTCATATGTATTTAGCTCCTGCCATTAAAGCACCACTCCTCTACCATTTTGCATGATGTTTATTGAATTACTTTCTGAAATGCTCCTAGATGCCATACACATTTTAAACAGCCAACTATTGGCCCAACTGAAAGAAAAATGAGTTTTTAAGTCTGATATCTACCTTGGACATAATAGCATGCCTTGTGAATACTTCTTTGACACCATTTTCAACACACACCTATACTGCCTGATTAAATCAGAATGTCTAGACAGAAAGGGGATAGACAGAGTGTCTTAGTCCATTTTATGCTGCTGTATCAGAATACCACAAACTAGGTTATTTATAGTGAACAGTAATATATGTGGTTCACAGATCTGGAGGCGAGAAAGTCTGAGATCAAGGAGCTACACATGGTGAAAGTCTTCTTCTATCATAACATGGCAGAAGGCATTTTGTTGGAGAGGCTGTGCAAGAAAGAGGAATGGCAACCAAACTCTTCACTTATAAGAACATCACCCTTATGATCACAGCCCTACTCCCTCAATAATGCATTAAATCCATAAAGGCAAGGCCCTATGACCTAGTGATCTAATGATCCCACTTCTCAATGATGTTGCATTGAAGATTACATACATTTCTACTACAAGAACTCTGGGGCAGTTGGGGGGAGGTATATATTCAAACCACAGGTGATAATGGCTGGCTGGATCACTGGATGAATGGATGGATGGATGGATGGATGGATGGATGAATGGATGGATGGATGGATAGATGGATGGAGGGAAGGATGAATGGATGGATAGAGTGTCAGTGAGTGAATAGGTAGGTAGATAATAAATACACATATGGGGCCAGCTACACTTAATACACCATTTTCATCCAGATTCACTGCATAAAATACTCGAGTTATTTTAATTTATCACCCCCAAAAGTTTACACATGAAAACAAAGATCCTTTTTTACTAGGCTGCCCTTGTACATCAATAGGTTCTGGTTCAGAAAAGGTATTCAACAAATAGATGTTTAGTAAAATATAAGTCAAACTTCTATAAACTGAAAAAGGAAATGGTCATTTTAATCAACACTCATCCAGATGAGAGGGAAATCAGTTGAACCAACTTTACAAGCTGCTTGGTGTCACACTTACAAGACAGATGGGCTTTTAATTTTTTAGTGTTCTCCCATTTGTATAACACATATCTCTGGATGAGGGTGATTCTATATTTAATAACTACTTTTCTAAAGGAACTTTGTACTTACTTGGATCTTCCTCATGTATCCGAGTATAGTTATCAAGCATGAAGGAAAAGAAGTTGGATAGCTGCATAAAATAAAAACACAATTAGTTCACGAACACCAAACTACTATTGTGGCCAAAGTTGTCAGTAGTCCATGCAAATCCTAGTACTCTTTCAGGGCATCATCTCACCTGCTGCAGGTGCTCAGAGTCACACCTATACCTGTTTCTAGAGACTTGCTCCCATAAATTGGGTGGGATCTCACCAACAGCTGCCAAGGATACACACACACATATCCCTCCTAAGAAGTTGCCCTTGACTGACAAACAAGAGCATAATAGTGCTGTTCTCTCTCCACCTTGCCTTTGCATGGGAAAAACTATGACATATTTCATACAAGTACCACATGGACTCAGTACACAAGTACACAAGGACTCAGGGTGAGGTCAGACTTCCATAGAAAACACAATTTTGTCTAGCCTTCCTCTCATGTCCTATATTGGCTTCCTCATTCTGTGGTTTGTTTTCCTGCTAACACTCCCTCAGTAACTCACTCGTACCAGAAATACTGTCTCAAACTCTGCTTCAAGAAAATCCAATCTCAACTACTAACTTTGGTCAAAATGACATTTTTTCTTTTTGGTGATTAGACTAGGACTTAAGGGATACATATTCAGTTCATACAGAAAAAAGAAAGGGTAGAAATCCACCAGCATTCAAACAATAATGTAGGTGCTACCTCTATGCCTGCCTGCTGAGACATATGTTTATGCAGCACAAATAATTTCTTCTCTAAGCCCTTCCTCCCATGAAGAATGAATGCTAACAAAACACAATCTCAGAGTAAGTCTAGGAGTTGACTTTCCACACAAACACCTAAATGCATGATTTTAATGCTGCTGAGTTTTTCCATTAACAGTCAATAGAAACCACAGTAAGATACGTAAGATACGTCGCACCTACTAGGATGACTATAATCAAAGTGTTGGCAAGGATTTGGAGAAATGAGAATCCTCACACATCACTGGGGTTAAGTGATGCAGTTGTGTGGGAAAAAGCTTGGTAGGCTTTCAAAAAGTCAAACATGGAGGTACCATGTGGCCCAGCAATTCCTGTCTAGATATATATCCAAATGAGTTGAAAACATATATTCATATTAACAGCTGCACACAAATGTTCATAGTGGCATTACATTATTCATAATAGCCAAAAAAGTAGAAAGAACCCAAATGATCCATTAACTGAGGAATGGCTAAACAAAATGTACACATATAAGAAATATTATTTGAACATGAAAAAGGAATGGACTGCTAATACATGCTATATCATATGTAAACCTTGAAGATGTTACACTAAATGGAGAAGACAAACACACAAAGGACTACACATTTTATGATTACTTTGATATGAAATGGCCAGAACAGACAAATCCATACAGGCAAAAAACAAATTAGCAGTTGCCCTAGGCTCCATGAAAGTAAATGCTACTGGGAATGGGGCCCTGGGGGTACCCATTACTCTACTGTGGTGATGGATACACAATTCTGTGAATATACTAAAGATTATTGAACTACATAATTTAAATGGATGAATTGTATGGTAGGTGAAACATATATATACAGATGCACATATATAACATAATATATTGATATATAATTATATCTCAATAAGTAGACATTTATTTCTCATAATAATATAATAACATGAATATATATTATTTTCCATTATGGGGTTTTACAGGTGTAATGATTCCCCACTCCACCTCTCCTTCCTCCCTCCCCATTTTCCTCCTCCACTGTTTTCTCCAATATTATTACAATATTAGTCTTTCAGCAATAGTCTCAAGTTCAACATTCTACTATTTAAGTGTATCATGCCATTGTAGACACACACAATGGTAGAAAGTCTAGTATCTTATTGTCAAGGTATATTTGACAGTTTCATTGGGAGTCCTCCTTTTATTCAGTAATAGAGATGCATATTGCAATGTATCTTCCCTTCCTGGTATGGTAGTCTCCATTATACAGTTCATCTATGAGAATACATGTATGTACATGTTTATATTTCTATTGATCCTGTATTTGGCATGAATGTTGCCTTATATAAGAGAGCACATAAAATATTTGTCCTTTTAGGATTGACTTATTTCACTGAGCATAGTGATCTGTAGATGGGATCACTTTGTTGGTCCATCTTTTTCATGGCTGAGTAGTAGCCCATGGAGTAGATATACCAAAGTTTCTTCATCTAGTCCTCTTTTGATGGGTATTTGGGTATTAAAAACAGTACAAAAGAATGTACTCATAGTAGACTGTTTATATGTAAAGCATACCAGTTTGGGAGCTCATTCCACCTTTATATTCATCACTGTATTCTGCCATGCTTAATAAGGCAGGCAAAATCATGAGCTGTAATCAAGGCAGAAACATCTGATTGAATCATAATGTAGAATTTTTATAGCTGCCAAGAATCAACTCAGTAACCCAATTCCTTTAAGATTTAAATTATTTATTATTAAAGACCATCATATGATATAATTATAAGATTGGCCAAAACAACAAATAATACCAAATGAAAATGAGAAGTCACTCTTATCCCTACCCACTGACCAATACCACTCGGAGCCCCAGAAGTAACCACTCTAAACAACTTGTTGTGTATCTTCTTCCAGACTCGACTGTGATTTTTTCCATCTGTATGTGATGAGCTCTATGTCTTGTTCCACAAGTTGCTTTTTCTGCTGACAACTGTATCATAGATCTTTCCAAGATTTTTATTAGAAAGTATTTTTATTAATAAGCATTAAAGCTGGATTTTGGTACTTTTTTTTTGCAAGCTTTACAAAGAGCCTCCTCATTCATGTATACTTTCTTTTAAAACTTTCACAGGTTTGTTCCCAGGAAATTGTTCTGATTGTTCTTTAAAGCATTTTTCCTTTATAAAGTAATAACTTTTGTACACTCAAAAATAGAATAAGACTATTTTTTATTAGTTACCTCAACATCTGGCTTTTAAAAATGTGAACTTCAAAACTGAAAAACATCATCATCATCTTCACAAAACACACTCTCTCAACTGTCAGTTCCAAGAACATATCTAGTAAAGCCTTTAACCAAGGCTCTTACATCTTAAATGGAGCCAATATTTCAGTCTTCCAATAATAAAGGGTAAATGGGAGCATTTTACCAAAAGAAAAGACAAGCTCACAAAACAAACCTGCATCTGGCTTTGCTCATCGGCATATTCAACAGACTGGAAGATGGCAAGGGCATAGTGCTGTCTGGCCCTCAGGCGAGCTCTGTAACCTCGGTACCAATTCTGGATGATCAACGTAGCTTTCAGTACTGCAGATACACGGGACATGAAAGTCAAAGAATAAGAGTTACTATACAGCTGCTGGGGGAAGTAGATGCTTCAGAAGGAAAAGATCAGTCTATCCATGTCCCTCATTTCTAAGATTAAAAACTACAAAGTAATGAGAATGACCTTTAAGGTTTTAATAAGATGTCCTCAAGTCTCAAACACTCAGAGAATGATGGCATGGCTATTACGAGTTGAGATCTTAGAGTAAGACTGCCTGAAATTGAATGCCAGCTCTACTAATTACTGTCTATGTGACTTTGGGTAAGTTATAAAACGCTAAAAGCCTGTTTCCTCCTCAGCAAAATGAAGATAACAGCAGCACCTGCCCCTGGTGTGACTTAGGTGTACATATGAAGCAGCAATGCCATTCTTCTCTCTGAAACCCAAAGCAATTCTCGCATGGCTCATTAAGGAAACATGTGAGGGAAGCAATGGCCTCTTCATGGCAGGAGGGAGCTTGGTGCCAAGGCAGCCTGGTTGTCCACTGCTAGAAAAGAGAATGGGTACCTATGTGGAATGCACTGCATGGCATACCATACCTTGACTGGAAGCAATCAATTACATAAACCTATTGCCACATGGACAGGTCTTAAAACTATAGGGCCTCAGATAGAACAATTATAAAGGAGTTAGAGACAAAATGAAATACAACAGGATACCATTTTTTACCCATTAAATACACACACACACACACACACACACACGGACATTGTGGCATTGCACATTAAGATGCTATTTGAGATGCCTGCATCTCAGATTAGAGTGGCTGGCTTGAGTCCCAGCTACTCTACTTCCTGCTAAAGCACCTAGCAGCCAACAGGTGCTTGTTTGGGTACTCAAGTTCCTGTCACCGCATATGAGATCCAGATGCTGCCTGCATTTGGCTAGCCAAAGCCCAGCTATTATGGGCATTTGAGGTATGAACCAGGGGATGAAATCAATCTCAATCTCTTCTATGTCTTGTGAATTGATAAATAAGTCTTTAAAATATATACATTTATAAACAAAAATAATGTATATGTCATAAGTGTATAGAGAAAGAAAAAAATATACACTATACATAGTGTATTGGTTATTTACAAGGGAGGTGAAGGAGTGCCAGCTGCATGAATGAAAGAGAACAGACTAATTAAAATAAGGAATCATCTTATTCCGATTAGGAATGACAATATACAATGAATTGGGAAATATGATTCACCCCAGCTTCTGCACCTGAGATTTAATCAGGAAAGACACAGATGGGGAAGTAGATTGCTGTAAGGGTAAAGAACTTAGTCCACATCTGGTATAAAGCAGAAGCCAAATGAATGACAACATAAGTAACTGTCTTGTTTGTGTCCTGTACAGGCACACTGGGACCAGTAGTCTTGAACCACCTTGGAGTTGCAGTATGGAAGAAAGTGATCAGGTGAGAGATAATGAGATTTAAAATATAGTCTCTTATGCCTCCTCAAGTTTTGAATGAGGAGTAATCAAGCAGCTGGCTCTTTTTCTCTATGCTATCATTTCTCCCAGTTAGCACATAAAAATTGAGTTGATTATAACTGGAACAATTTGAGTTCACAAAGCAAGGATCCAGCCACCAATCCCAGAGTCTAGTATACTGAGTCTACCCCAGGACCAAGCCATCTAAGGATTTTTATTTATGAGTTTCTCCGAGGCTCTTGGGTTTCAGAGACTCTCATTTTATTATTTAGCTTTCAGAAAACTCTGGAAAATAAACCTAAAGTCAAGAATCACAGTCTTCCTAGGGAAAAACCACAGAGAGAAGCTAGAGAATGGTTTGCTCAATACACAAGGCAAAGAATCAGTAGTGCCATGGCAGAAATCTCAAGTGCTATTCTCTTACCCTTATAGCCAGGTTCACCCAGAAGCCCTGTGTTGTGGGAACCAACCTTGTCAGCTCAGGGATTCTCATGGGCACCAAGCCCCCTCAGGCTGGTGCAGTGCTAGTTCCTGAGCACTCACTGAGGGCCAGGCAATGTATTAGTTCCTACCATCCTTGCCACACTGGGAAGACCAGAGACTGCAGACTTACTAACTTCAGTTCAATTAGCCACCAGGTGGAAACGGATAGCAAGCATTTGAATAGGGACCTGATTGACTCTACAGCCCAAACTCTTAACTGCTACAGATCTATTGATCTTTTCCTGTGCTCCAGTTTCTTTATCTACACAATGATGTATTAGAATAAATGATCACTAAAGGTCTCTTCCACTTTGCATTAGCAACATCAAAGCTAAATAACCAAAATAAGCTTATTGTTGTTTCTATAATTAATAATAGAACAAAATATCTACCATATGCTAAGCATCTAATACAAGACATTCTGTCTCCATGAGTATTATTATGTTATTGGTACACATAAGGAAACTGAGTTCAAAAATGCAGTACCTTGTTGACTCACCCAATAACAATTTGCTTAAGTCTATAGCCTGGGTTCTTTTTACTATAGCCAGTTACTTCATGTCCTAATCCATCTGTACCTTTCCTTCCTTCAAAAATTACCAGCCACCGTTTATTGAATGCCTGCTATTTGTCCAGCACCACATAGACATTTTACATACACTGCCACTTCTACTCCTCTTCTTTCCCATCTCTTCCCATTGCATCCACAGCTAGGGCTCCCACACAACTCTCCAGGGTACTATTGTGTTTGAAAGGCACACAACATGTCCACTGAGCTCTCTCCAAGCGAGTGTGGATATTATGTCTAGGAAGGTAGACATAATATCAGTTCCCTCTATCTTTTACTTGCTCTCCTTCTCTAAAGTCAGGTAATGGAAGGCTGCTAAGGCCAGCCCCAGTCCTCTTGCCACTCAGCCATCTCTGGGCTTATATGCCTGTGTCTGAGCACGAACACCTTCAATGAAGCTGCTATCTCTCAACTCCAATCACACTCTCTCCAGTTGGGTCAGCAATGCTGAGGCTGGCATTCTGCAGAGCATTGCACCTTTGCCAGTTGTTCACTGTTAGGATCTACTCATAGAGGCAGTACAGGAACAGTGGCACACTCCTTCCTGTCCTCTTCCTGTTCCTATTTGTGTAACCTAGTAACCACTCTTCATTCCCTGCCACAGCAGTTGGTTCCAGTGTACAGTAAGTCCAGCTCTTGCAAAACCAGCCTCATGGCTGACCCCAAGACATTGACCCCCAGATGAGCAGCATTCCTGATCAAAGGTCTGGGTTTCGGTTTGGTGAAACAGTCCAAGTTTGTAAACTGCAATAATTTAATCTTTTCCCTTTGTATCCTCCACCCTAAGGGAGTGGTAATTTTGCTGTAGTTATTATCTCCGAATAATTTACAGTTCTCCTCTAGTTACCTAGAAATCATTGCATTCCTATCTGACAATTCTTTACCTCTAATTCTCTCTGTTCAAATCACCATATGATTTCTGCTTACTGGCTAGATGCTACTTCATGAGCTGGCCATTAGGGGAATGGGGAAAAAAATAGGTTCTCTTTTGACCTCAAGCCTCAACTTTCTGGGTGCTCCAACTCAGGTACTTCCTAGAGAGCTACACTGAGACATTGAATGCTTGTGGGAGTGGTCGATAGAGTAGACTTTGAGCCATATCTGGTCCTTGTCCCTCAGACAGAGCCCTCAGAAACCTCTTGAGGAAAGGAAAGGAGACTGGCAAGGCAGGCTTGGGCATACCAACATCAGACCTCTAAAAGCTCACATGATGCCTAAGAGCCCACCTTCCCCAGGGCACCCCTAGCCAGCTGAGGACATTCCTCAACAGCACAAACCTCTCACACAGCAAGGGAGAGAATCGAGATGTGACAGACCCTAGCCAAGGCAGTCCCTGGCTCCCATGCCCCTATCCCCACCTGGTGATCAGAAGATCTGTGCCATTCAGTTCTGAACTCATTGGACACCTTAGATTTCAGCTGCTTTTGCTGCTTCATTGTACAAAAAGCTTACCTTCCCTGTCCCACTAATTCCATGCAGAAAAGAAAATGAAATTACAAAATAAGACCTATTACCATACGACTCCCAAAGGAAGCAACACTACAGACTTAATAAATTACCTGACCAATTTTTCTGTGCCCAGCACGGGTTGTTTTGCTATTTGCTAAGCTATTTTTTTTGTTTTGTTTTTGGTTTGGTTTTTAATAGATCCTTTCTCTGGTGGCAATCATTATCATGATATTTTGCAAGAAAGCAAATATCCATGTAGGAGTTAGTGAACAAGACAAATAATACATGCAGAGCATTTGTTTTATGCCAACCACTAAATTGGGTGCTGATTTGATTTAATCTTCTCAACAATGCTATGAAGCGTTACTATCCTTATTTTACAGATAAGAAACTGAGGCCCAGAAATAGTTTGGGGTTATATTGTTTGTCAGTGGTAAAATGCAGTCAAATTCATAGCTCTATAATTCCAGAACCTGGGCTTGTAACCACTGTACTGGACAATGCAGTTTGGTTTGTAACCAACCATTAAAAACAATGAGCCAGTATATAAAATAGCACCTCCCTCCCACACCACCCCCCAAACACACACACACACACACACACACACACACACACACACACACACACACACACACACCATATCCTTTTTCTGCTCTATTGATCCTCATGGCACTTTTCACCATCTGATTTTGAGATAGCCACACGTTCATGCTAACTGTCTATCTTCCTCTATTGCATATAAGGACAAGCTATATAAGGACAGGAATTATATTTGATGAACAGCCACATCCTCAGCACCCACATGGTTAACAGGGATCCAGGTACTTGAATCATCTCTTGCTGCCTCCCAGTATGCAGATTAGCAGGAAACTTGAGTGGAAGCTGAGCTGCTAGGCCTCAAACCAGGTAATCCAGTGTTGGATGCCTATGTCCTAGTTAGTGGTTTAACCTGCTGTACTGCAATGCCCACCTCAGTTTTGGTTGTTAAATAGTATTTTGACAGCTACTTTTTAAGGAAGAAGTTTCATAGACTGATAAGACATTTGAAGTCCCTGT